TTGTCTTGGTTGGCCTAGAGCTTGCTCTGTAGACCAGACTAGCCTCAAATTCACAGAGGTCCACCTGCCTCTACCTCCTGCATGCTGGGATTAAAGGTGTGGGCCACCAAACCCCGACTGAAATCATTGTTCTTGATCTAGCAATCCCACACTAACCTCCACACATGCATATAAAAGTAGTTTTATCCTAATCCCTCTCCTCGTTTTGTTTCTTAGAGACAGTCTTATTTATAGCCTAAACTCACTTGTGAATTCCAAGCTGACTTTAAGCTCACAGTGATCCTCCTGCCTCAACCTCCCAAATGCTGGGGTTATAGGCATGTACCTCCCGAATGCTAGGGTTATAGGTGTGCACCACTACGCCTGGCTTGGTTTTTGGTTTCTTGAGCCATGGCTTTACTATATATCCCAGGCAGGGCTTGAATTTGTGCTCATCTTTCTGTCTCTTTTTCCTGAGTTCTGGGACTTCAGGCAAGTGACACCATGCCTGGCCTGGTGCTGTCCTGACTCTTTCAGTACCTTCCATTTCTTCTACTTGTACAGAAAAGGATTCTCCCGTCCAAATGTGTGGCGAAGACTGATAAGCCTGGTTAAACTTCACAGGGAGACTCCAGCTTGGCCTCTGCCAATGCGTAGTGCTCTTCTGGGGTTCCCCACCCACAAGCTCCTGCCTTCAAACTGTCTGTGTCCTGGGAGGTTCCTCCCCTAGAGCCTCCACCTGCCCCATCCCTGGTTTCAGGACCCCTCTTCTCCAGGACCTGAGGTTCTCCTGGACTAGCCAGCATTTGCTCTTCTAGCTGAGGCTTGAGGTGCCATGGTAATTTGTTTGTTGACAGTGCATTTCATCCTGTGACTCAACTCAAACCCAGGACCTCACATGTTCTATACCTCGATGCACATGAATTCTCAGGACGGGTGGATAATGGATAACTTCTTTTCCTCTCACTGGGTCTGGCAGGTGCATAACTCAAATGCCTGGTAGATGAATGCCTCTTGTGGTATGTTTTCTGCATGAGAAGCTATACATTGGGGGTTAGATTATTTTAAATTGATGTAAGTATTGTGGAATCTTTAGAAAATACTGGGAAAACTTGGTGAAATCCTGATTGCTGTAATATAGAACATTCTGTATTTGGGTCTCTCTTAAGGTTTTTAACCTATCTGCTAAACGTGCATCTAACAGGATCCACTCATTAGATGTGCATTCGGCTTTTTTTTTTTTTTTGAGTCAGGGTTTCTTTGTGTAGCCCTGGCTGTCCTGGAACTTGCTCTGTAGACCAGGCTGGCCTTGAACTCAGAGATCTGCCCGCCTCTGCCTCTCAAGTGCTGAGATTAAAGGTGTGCGCCACCACTGTCTGCCTCGGCTTGCTCTTTCGTTCAGTTCTTGGAACTCTTTGTTTGAGGCAGGATCTGGCTATGAAGCCTAGGTTGGCCTTAGACTCATGGCAGTTTTCCTGCCTCAGCCTCCTAAAGGCTGGGATTATAGACCTAAGCCACCATGCCTAGTGTATTCTTAACTCCTACGGGGACTGCTGTAAACCACAGACCTTAGACTAGCCACCTTATGCCTCCTGACAGTCAGAGAGGCTGAGGTTCTGGCTTGTTCGTAGTACAGGCCCAGTTGCTGCCCTGGGGCCCATCAAGGCTGGTGTGACAGACACTCCTGGAGAGGGTTTGGCTGCTCCCCTTGGTCTTGAGCATTTGATGAGAGCCTGTATTTGGATCTGAAGCCCAGAATAGGATGGTAGAAAGGGTACCTATTAGAATATTAAGTACTCTCCTGCCTGCCTGCCCCCCCTCCCCCCAGGCTCAGGCTGCCTCTGCAGGATGCAAACACACCCTCCTCTGACCCAGATTTGGGGGATTGTTTCTAGCAGTTAACTGCCAGTGGGCCATCCCAGGATTGGATTTAGTCCACTTTCATTTATGAAAAGGACTTATGCAGGGCTGTGATGGCAGATCTAAAATGCAGTGCGGAGGGTACCAAGTCGTACCCGCCCCTCTGAACGGGTCATGGGGCAGGGATGCTTTCTGGAAGGACAACTTGTCAAGCCCAAGCCTTTGTTAAAGCTTGTCCCTCATCCCCACATCAGGATGCAGCTGTGGTATTTCGCGGTGGTTGGGTCTGGGGGATTGTGGAGAGTTCAGCACTGGCTGCACTCCAGCATCGGCCAGCCAGCCCTGCTCCTCGCAGCCAGCCTGGGTGGAACCAGGTGTCCCAGGCAGACTGTGGCAGCCACTTCACAGTGGCTTTCTGTTCTGAGTGCCAGGCAGAGGGGCCTCTCGTCGGCACCCTGCTCACGTCCCCACTAGGCTGAGGGCCTGGCCTGGAGGGAGGCTCCTTCGCTGCAGGAGCCTCGACACGTTTACTGGACTTTTGTTGGGGGAGGTCAAAGGTGCAAGGGAACTCACGGGCCACCGAGTACCTTGCCACCCATTGTGGGTATCCTGTAGCCATCCATGACTGTCAGAGCCTGGAGATGCGGCTGGTATGTCTGGGGATACGAATTGCTATTTTAGTTCATTTGAATAAAAAAAAACCCAGGTATCCATTTAAGTGCATTTGGAACAACTAGGGAATTGAAATCTACTTATTCAGCTGTAAAATTCATGAAATCTATGTACAATTCCAGTTTTCCCAAAGTGCATACAAATTGAGGAGTGATCTAAGTGTAAAATGTACTCTAGATTTCAAAGATCCCTTGAAAAAATACAAAATGCCTCAATAATAATTTTTATCTTAATGTTTTAAATGATTACATTTAGATACAGTGGCTTTAAAGTATTATGAAAATACTTCCACTTTTATTTATCTTTTTAAAGTGGGCTTCTAGAAAAATTGGAATTACTGTTTGTCTCGAGTTACATGTGACTGGCAGTGTTAACCTCTGAGCCTGCTCTTGCTGTAATGTGATGAATGGTCCTTTAGGGGAACTGGTTAATGGCCTTTTAGCATTTTCCCACTGAATTAGGTTTTAGGAGACTCCTGGTGTCTTACGGGGAACACTTTTTAAAAGCCTGTTTATAAATATTGTTTCTTTATTATTGTTTTTTGAGGCAGGGTCTTGCCGTGTTACCCAGGCTGGCAGTCCTCATGCCTCACCCTTTTGAATGCTAAAATTATTGACCTGCACCACTGTGACATAAAACATTTTTTTTCTCCATTGCATAAATAAATACCTTTCTTAAGGGAAATTAGGAAGTACTGATTAAATGAAGCTAAAGACAGTTTTCCTAACGGTACTTTGTAATGATATTTTGCTTAGTGTTAGCATGAAAGTAGAACTTCTGGAGGATTTGACAGATTGATTGCCTTGACAATGGTGAAGCAAGCATTGCTTCCTATACTTATTTATAGAAGGGCGCTCGAAGGCTCGGAGATTTGGACAAGGTGGCAGGAAAGCCATCAGGACTCGGAATGGGATGCAGGCGGTTGTCACGGGTGGTTTTATTCTCCCAGGGCAGCCTGATGCTGGGACTTCGGGGAGGGCGCTGCCTAAAAGGATGGGCATGCTGTCCCAAGAATCCCATTTTCCAGATGTGCTGTTTGAACGTGTGCTGGGAGAGTTTTGTGTGTCGCCACCTGAGGCATGTTTGAGATGACATAGCTGTGGTTGGCAAGGTGACATGTGAGCCCAGGTGCTAGAGAGTCCCCACTGTCCAGTGTCTCCCCTCATGCTTTGAGGTGCTCCGCTGTGAGACTAGCCCACTAGGTGCTGAGCTTGTTTCTCGAATGCCAGTGGGAAGCCTGCTGAACACAGCCACCACCTCCCATTTTTGCGGCAGAGAAATTCGCCTTAGGCTACGTCTCAGGAGAAACCCTTTTCAAAGGCACAAGGCGTCACTGCTCTGCCGCCCACCCCTTTCACCAGTCTTCCACAAAACTGGAATTTTCTTTTAGTGTGGGTGTGTGTGTGGGTGTGTGGGTGTGTGTGTGTGTGTGTGTGTCCACCCATACATGCACATGGAGCCAGAGGTCTATTAGATATCACTCTCTACCTATTATTATTATTATTATTACTATTATTATTATTATTTTAAGTTAGAGTCTTTCACTGAGTCCAGAACTCACTACTGGGCTGGCTGGTGATCTCTGAAGATTCACCTATTGTCGTCCCCACTGCTGTCCTGTGTCATCGTCTCCCCCCGCCACACACACACATTGTGGTAATATCCTCTCTGCCACGCCTCAATTTTTCACATGAGTATTTGAGATCCAGACTCAGGTCTGTACGTTTTCGTGTCAGACACTCTCACCGCTGAGACATCTCTCCAGCCCCAAATTGGGTTTTGTTTTGTTTTTTTTTTTCTAGATTTGTGAAAAGCAGTTCTAAGCCAGGACGAAGATCATCCCTGCCCAGCCTGGGGAATGACCAGGGCTGTGTGTGGCAAGGCTGCCACCACTGGCCAGAACACAACCCCCAAAAGACCTACAGATAGAGGCTATAACCATTGGTCTAGCCCCACCTTCTTTCAGGGGCCTTTGTTTGAGGGTTAGGAGGCAGCTGTCCCCAAGGCCATTTTCTCTGACTGGGCTGAGCAACCGGACATTTTCTTCTCCTAGACCATCACTCCCTGTGAAAAAATAAAGTCTCCTCTTCTAGAACTTGCCCCAAAGCCTAATCCCGTGCTCAGATCCTCAGTCCCCTGCTCATAAAGACTCGGTAGCATCTCATTGTTTATTCCCTATTTAGTTTTAACTGCATCAACTATAGGAACAAAAATAATTCAGTACAGCTTTTAAAAAGAAGCTTAATCCTAGCATGTCATTTATCTTTCCCTGCAAGTTTCTGCATATGCAGCCACCATTTTTATTTGACGAGCAAGACAGAATGATTACACTCCGAGTTGAATGGTTCATCCTGTCATTTAGGACCTTCACGGTTGCCATGTAGTGGCTGCACACTTCTCTAGTGACTTGATGAGCTGTTATTTACCTAATGGCTCTTCACTCTTGTCTCCTGTTCTTTAACGGTGTCCTTCTCTCTTTGTCTCTGTAGGAAGTTCTCCAGCAGCTGATCGTAATGAATTTGCCCAATGTTTTGATGATTGGCAAAGACCCACTGTCTGGTGAGTGTACGCGCCCCACCCCCACCTCCTGTAGTGCCTGGGCAATGCCATCAGTTTGGACAGCTGTTAGCCACAGCTCTGGCTGCCAGCTTGGAGCCAGCACAGTGAGACATGTGATGGTTTTGGTGAGGCTTTAAAAAGTGGCTTACTGTCCTGAGGCTTTAGGCCAAGCATGCATTTCTTCCCTTAGAGAGTGAATCTTTCCATCCTCAGATGTGCGTGCAAAGACAGACAGGGCCATTGCTTTGTATTTTCTGAGAATGTGGGTCTGACTTTGGGAGTCTGAAATGTGACGGGCTCTGCAGGCTCTACTTCTGTAACCATGGCACCAGGTTCTGTTGTGGTGGGTACGTCCCTAGACTGGAAAACAAGCACCTTTTGGGGAGCCAGTGTCTCTCCTCGGGGATCCTGTGATGTTTGTGTATGTTCCATGAGTGCTTCCTGTCCCACGTCCCTCACTGGACTGAGAGCACCTGGTGGGCCGGGGTTCTAAGACCCTCTGGTCTGGGACTCAGTAGGTCTATAAAGTGGCCAATGCTCCAGGCACCTTCTGTCACAGCACAGCTTCACTCCTGCATACAGGTAATTCCCAGGTGACAGGGCATGGTGCTGGGTGGCCTCCCTTCCACGTGGTCACACTGCAGCACTCAGGATGTACTTGGGGGTCAGAGCTCCTCGTGCTGGCTCCTTGTTCATTGGTCCTTTGGAACTCTGGAGTAGGTGAGGTGTTAGGACAAACAAGGGTAGGATGGGCTGAGGCCAGGGGTCCTGAGAGTCATCAGTTTGTACAGAAAGAGTTTCACTCTGTGGGTTGCTCCTTGGCCTTCCTGGGGTCTAGCTCTCCTTCCTCCTGACTGGGACAGTCCCTAAGTTGCCGTGAGACTGGAGGAAAAGTAAACCCAGTGACCAGCCAAGGACATGACTTCTAAAAGAGCAGTTTGCTCGGTGGCATGACCTTGGGAGTCAGCAGAGACAGCTTTGTACAGCACAAGTAGGTAGGACACTTTCTCTGGGCTCCAGCTGAAATATGTCCTCTTTTCTTTTCTTTTTTTGGACACCAAAATAGAGACACCCACGGCACTAGCCCATGAGCATTCATCACCAGCATGATCTGGTGGCCCTTCCATGTCTACCAGGTTGCTTGGTGGCTCCTGCAACCAAGGTCCTCCTCAGGACCTTCTCCATTGCATCAGCAACAGGAGCGTTTGGTTCCCCAAACCCCAGCTCTGAATCCATCTTATGGCCTTCCAAGAAGAGGTGGAGAATGCCACCTGCAGTCCGTCCAACCACCCCTGAACCCCAGGGAAGGTTGGGTCCATTGAGACTTGTATGGTGATGCTGGGGAAGTAGCGTTGCTTTGCTGAGAACTGTGTTGCTTTCTAGGTTGATGAGGGGCTGGTGTTAACCGGGAGATAGAGGGGTATACCTTGTAAGGTTGGCTGTGCCATCAAGGGCTGCCATTCTCTGTCTGCTTTGAGGGCAGCAGAGGAGCTGGAGAACAGAATGCCTGCTCCAGTGCCAGCCTTTGAACGCAATTTGAAGTGTGGAAATGACAGTGTTTCTGGGGTGTGTTGATGTCATTCCATTTATAGGTGAGGAATTTATTTATGCACACACCCTTGTCACTGGGCTGATGAGCAGAGCAGCTGATCGGCAGCAGAGGCTCTCTGGGGCCTGAGATCCTCTCCATAGCTCACGCCCTGTCTCTGCAGTTGCCAACATTCAACCCTTTGGGGCCACATAGTTGGAGCATGCTGCTGAGAAAAACATCAGCGGTGAATGGATCAGTGTAATAAACACATTCTCCTGACCTGCCCAACCACCCTGTCATCCATGCCACTTCCTCCTCTCTCTGCTGTCCCCAAGTCTGGATGCCTTTTCTCTCTCTTCCTTAGGGTCCCTCAATCCTACCAGAGACAGATTGTCCATGTCAGGGAAAGCAAGTTCTCGTTCCTGTGTGGCACTGAACCAGAATACCCACAGAAAAGTCGATTCTCCGTAAATCACATTATTTATTTATTTATTTATTTATTTATTTATTTATTATTTTGGGAGTGGGGGTCCGCCGAGGCCCATGCGCCATGGCATGTGTGTGTGGATATCAGAGGACAATTTGCAGGAGTTGGTTCTCTCCTTCCACCCTATAGGTTCCAGGGATCCAACCTGGGTCACCAGGCTTGGTGATAAATACTGAACCATCTTGCCAGCCCTACTTTAAAAGCAAAACCAAAACCCGGCTTTATTTGCATACCGTTGAATTCCCCCCCCTAATTTAAGTGTAAAGTTTACGTCAGGGCTTTTCCCCACAAGCGTACAGAATTGAGTAACCCTCACCTCAGTCTATCAGGGGTAGCTGCTTTTCATTGTCTGTCAGCCGGGGAGGTGAGTAGTCCCAGGGCCCCACTGTGATACCAAAATCAGTGCTCGCCCATTTCAGAGGCTCTGGTTCCAGTTCCAAGGATGTGATGAGGTGACACACTGAGCATCGGATAGTAAAGCTCCGCGGCCTAAGCAGGGCTGAATGACATGCTAGACAGGGGCCTCAGCAGGCTGCCTTTGAGAGCAGACGTGGCCTCCCCACAATGCATGGATGGGTAGGTTTGACAGGGCTCTTGAGGGGTTCTGAGAGTCAGGGGGCATGGCAGGAGGCATCAGCCAGCAAGAGCATGCAAACACAAATCCCAGACGTTATTTATGGAGTCGTATTTTTGGCTTTAAATTTTAAAAATAGATGTGTGAAGCATTTTATGTTTCGTTTTCAATGAAGAACAGAGTTGGTGTTTTTTAAAATTGTGTGGCTGCCCTGGGGTGGAGAGAATTGCTTTTTTCACTCATTCTGTCTCCTGCATCTCATGAGGGGCACATTTGAGGCTTTTTTGGCAGAGGCTCACGCCACACTGTTGATCATAGCATTCTGCTGCTTGAGGTTAGTTTTGTGTTGTTGGCGCCTGTGCCACAGTGGAACAAGGTCTCTGATCCCAAATAGTGTGGAATCCACTGTGACGTACCCTCCTGGCGCCACGGACTGCTCCGCTCTTGCCTGCTACCCTCCTCTCTCAGGCACCCATGGGGGCAGCCTGTCAAGTCCTTGCTTGCTTATTGAGCTTCCTCAGCGAGGCCCTCCTGGCCTCCTTGTCCCATTTATCCCATCCTGTTTCCCCTTTCCCCTAGCTCCTTTGAGTAGACAGTCTCTTATATGAGTGCCTAGATCAGGGTCTGGCATGAAATGGGCACTCAGCGACCACAGCCTGTGTGCTGCAGGCCTGCCCCTGTCTCTTCCTGTCTCTCCATACGCTACTCCTTTAAGCCCGCTTCCTACAGCTGTTTAACCACAGACTTGGATACATAAAAAAGGTCGTCCGGGTGATGTTTAGTCCCTGCTCTGTAACAGCTGTGTCTTCCTTGGGCCAGAGATGGCCCACAGAGAGAGCCACACCGTCTTGCCAGCTGCACAGCCATCAAGCCCGTTTGTTTGGTTTGCCAGTGAGAGCGCTCTGGAGAAGCCTTGTGAAGATCAAGGCCCCACATCAGCTCCGGCTGTAAGATGAGGTAGCGTGGTGTGTACGACACTTCTGGTATCTCGGCAGCTAGGCCTGTCACAGTGCCACACACACAGAAGACGGGGTTTGTCTGACAAGAAGCCAGAGTGTTAGCAAATTAATTTCTGTGACGCAGCATAGAACGGTCTGGAAGAGAGCTTGGTTTTTCCTTCCAAGGCTTGTATCCAAGCGCAGCGGTGGTTAACATACTCATAAATTGCTGATTGCATCTGCATTAGCTAGAATAGAAGGGAAGGAGCCGTAGAGGTGCAGAGGCCCTGTTCAGAGAGAGACACGCAGGACGGGGGTCTCCTAGGCGAAGTGTTTAAAACCATACATTATGCAGATGGCTATGTTTGTGAGTATTTGGCCATAGGTTCCAAGCAGGACTGGCCACCACCAGTCCTAAACTCATTCTAAATGTCAATTCAGATTCGGGGGAAGGGGTTGCAACCCCATATGTGTGCTCTGCAGGGACCTGTCTGAATACAGCTGCAACTCCTGGGACCAGCTGTCTGTGGTCTGGCCATTGGTCCCAAGTGTTCCTCGAATGGTGGTTGAAGATAGGTCTCCAGCAGCAGCTGAGCACTTGGAAGGCTCAGAACAATCTATACCTATCCTTTGCTCCTTGGCCAAGCGTAGGACCCTGTGGTGTCTGCTGCTCTGGTTAAGGAAGCCCGAGGCCTGGTTTCTGTCCCTCCCAAGAAGACCCAAATGCCCTTGAGTCTTTTTTCATCCTGGCTGGCTGGCTGCCCCTTGGCTGGAGCCTTGCAGAAGCAGCTCAGCCCAAACCTGTTCTTCAGCATTTGCTGTTCAGATGCTCCCTGTACTGGATCCAGGGGCCCTGGAGCCATAGAAAAAAAGCCTCCAGTGTTTATTGAGCAGGAAGGTGATAGAGGAGAATCCATAATGATGGGTATCCCGTCATGCCAGCGTGCTTCTGTGTGCAGAGGGCATAACTACCCAGGCAAGTCAGAAGGGCTTCCTGGGAGAGGTGGTGTTTGGGCAAGGCTTTGGTGAACTCTTAGTAGAGAAGGCAGGTTGTGCTTGCTTTCTGTCATGGAACTAATACTTGAGATAATCACCTTATACAGAGAGGGGCACAGTCTGTTTTGGATCATGATGTTGGGATGAGCCAGCCCTTAATTCAGTTGCTTTGAGGCCTTGAAGCATATGTTGGAGCAGAACTGTCCACAGTTAGGGTGAGGAAGCAGAGGAAGAAGTGACCAGGGTCAAGGCATGCCCAGTGATCTAACTTTAGAGCTCCAATTAGCTCCCATCTCTTAATCTCTTAGCAGTTCCACTCGGGGATCAGCCCTTCAACACACAGGCTTTTGGGGGGCATTCTCCATCCTGACCATAGAGGTGAAGAGGGGTGTCAGAGGTGGGAGGGGCTCTGGGTTGGAGATGTGTGGGAAGCAGCCCTGCTGGGAGGCTGGCTCTGGAGCAGCTGCACCTCTT